ATCCAAGATTTAAGGTTATTGACGCTTAGAGGAAAACAAAGAGATTGCACTCTTTTTGGCACAACTTTATAATGCTGAAACTAAAAAACTTGTTTGATTTAGGTTTTTTGAAAATTCAGTTTAAAAAAATAGGAAGCTGACGTTAGGTTCCAACATTCTCCTCCGGCACTCTAAATTTAATAAAATTACTAATAAATCCTCTTATCTACAAAACACTCTCTCTAACCCCAAATTAATATTGAAAAAGATTTATATCAGGCCACAAGATCTGGAGTTGCAGGATTATTGCTGCAAAAGCCAATCAAGCACTGGCGCCCAGAATTCATTTTTTATCACTCAGAGAGTTGTTCAAGCGTCAATTGCATTGTTCAAGCTTACATCAATTGTTGTGTTGAAACCATCCATTCTTGACTAAAGGTTGAAAATTGAAAGGAGTGAAATTTAGAATTGCAATGCCAAAACCACCAATATTGTTCTTAAATTGGTAATGGAACTAACAAAGTTTGAATATTTCTTCTGAATTAGTTTATTTACTGAAAAAACAAAAAAAAAAAAAAATAGCTTGAAAACTGAAAGGGGTGAAATTTCAGGACGAAATTTGAATGAGATGCTGCGTTGGAGTTTGATAAGGAGGTCGCGCTCCACAAACCCTCCAATATTATTGCAACTCACTGGATCTCTCCGTAATCCCCTTCACCCTTTTTTTTTTTTAGCTAAAAGGTAAGCTTGTATTAGAAGAAGGAAAGAATTTACAGGGAGGTCCAAATAGGACAAACACAGACTGCCTAAGCAGAAACAAAGCAAAAGCACTACTTTCCAGATACATCAGCAAGCCAAAAGAAAACTACAAGCAAATCAACAACTTTCCAGTTACATGCACTACTTTTTTCTAGTTACAACCATAATGAACACCAACTCTCAGTAGAAAACCAGAGAGTGAGCATTTGCTAAGTAGCAGCCATCATTGAAGAGCTTCTGTAGGTCCTCAAGTTTATTCATTCTCCTCAAATCAGTTAAACTTTTCAATATGATTGAAGCAAGTCTCCCTCTAGTACAATTCCTGATCTGATTAATGACTGTGAATGGGGATGAAGAGGAATTCCTAAAAGCTCCATCCAAAGAAAATAAACAGCAGCTGATAGAAGTAACTTGTGGACAAGGAATCCCTTTGAGCTCCAGTTATCAGAATACCACGAAATTATGCCCCTCCAACTCGCTGGCTGAATGTAGAATCCAGCTGTGTTGAACAAAAGTCCAGATTTTCTCTGAGAATTCACACTTGAAGAATAAGTGATCCATAGACTCACTGTTGGACAAACAATTGTTATCTTTGTTTCTGTCCTTTGGCGTCTGTTTTTACAAATAAATTACTTTTACCATCTTTTCATTCTATCTGCTCTCTTTGCCTCTATGATTTCTATCAAAAATATTACTTTAAATGAAATATTGCCAGTGTTTGTTTCGCCTTTTTGGATTTCAAAGTAACGAGTTTTTGATAATGGTTTCCTGAACATTGTTTGCATAGTGTGAAAGGGAGGAGAGTATATATGAAAAAGAGAAAAGGAAATATATATATATATATATATATATATAGTAAATGAAAATTTATAAAAATAAGGAAGAGGGCAATATATTCCTTTTATTTTAATAATAAAGGGAGTTGGAGTGCGAGAGGAAAATAGTGGAGAGTAGTTAATAGCTAATGAGTAGTTAGCTTAATGGTATATTCTCCTTGTCTTTCTCTTTTATAGGGAAGGTGAAGAGTCTAACAATTGTGAAAAGAAAATGACTTTAATGTATTTGCTTACCCGAGGTTCAGATTCGGACACCTTCTAGGCCAGGCGCTTGGCATGACACCGAATCAAGAATTGTGTTTTGGCTTTGATACCAACGGTAATGAGTAGGCGCTTGCCCATTTACTCAAAAACTTAATTTATTGAGTAGTAATGCAAACCTACATATTTGTACACCTTACAATTTATATCCGAATTCGATGTAGGACAAGTCCCACTTGTAACAACTAGACTATTTGATTAGAATATCATAATCCATAATGAAATGTTTAGAAAATATTTATCTAATACAAAAAATAATAATAATAATAATAATTTATTATTATTATTTTTTGAAAAGTGAACAAAGCCAAACTAAACACAGGCATTTCACCATTGGGTTTATTACCAAGTCGAAAAAGAGGAAAACTTTTTAAATTGCCAACAATGCCTTAAATTGGCGAGATTAACAAAGACCATTCATTTACCGCAGGTATAATTTAAATTCCCTCCAAATTCAATCTCTCTTCGACCCCGAATCACCGTTTAGAATTTCTGAATCCACCAAGTGATTGTCTCTCTCTGTATTTCTCTCTAGGTTGTAGATTTTGGTTCAGATCAATCTTCCTAGCTGGTTGAAGAATATGGTCGCTAATCTCTGGCGAATCTGAAACGAAAAATTCATAAACCAGAAAGAAAAATATCGTGAAATTTTTTGCTCCTAGTAATTTCTATATCTTATATTCATGTACTGATGAAACTATGGTTTTTTTTTCTGTTTTTTTTCATTCATCTTATTTGTGGATTTTTGTTCAGTATACCATCTTCGTTCACTGGATCAAGACGGTGTGTACTGCATTGAATTGAATGATGGATTAGGTCTATTTCTCATCTTTGATCTCCCTACATTTTACTGAAATCATGTAAATTTGTTGAATTTCTACTGGTGACATTTTCTGTGGCTCCCAAACGCAACATAAGTATAATTAGGAGTTTGTTAATTTTCTCAGGTTCTATCAAGGAAAACAAAAATATCAGTATTCTTGGAAAGCTTTCAGTGCAATTCAGGGCTTTAGATGAGTAACATAAGTAATTGCGTCAGTACAGTGTGTTAAGGGTCATGGCCATTTCAAGCAATGAAGAAATTAAGAATTATTTTATTTTCTATTTTTTTTTCCTTACATTTTCTAGGCAGCCGAAGAGAGTTCTATGCATTTGTTGAAGAGTAATGCTATGAAGAGAATTCCCTCGTGATAAGAGTCATGAACTTTTCATTTAGACACTCGATTGAGACAGATTTTCGAAATCTATGTAAAGTCAGATGAATATGAACAACATTAGTCTCTGTTGTTTTCTAATTATAGTTACAGATTAGTTTTACAAATTGCTTATCCACCACACCAAGTCTGATCAAGATCAACAAGAAAGGACAATGCCACGAGTTGTATTTTGGACTAAAGACTAAAAAATCTCTCTTAAAATGACCAACTCCTAACAGGGTTCCATATAACTTATATATATCAACCACACATAATTATAAAAAATACCAGAAAGTTGTCTTCTTGAATATATATATATATCTATACACGGTTTGACATTTCATGCAAACCAAGCAATCTTCAAAGCCTACAGAGCTATGAAGATTCACATCGTCGATTTTGGGCGATGGCGGAGCTAGACTACGAAGCCAATGATCGGCGTTGAACAGATATCGGCGTTGGTGACAATGGGGGAAGACTCCAGTGAAGGCGACGATGGTAGCGGGAACATCGGGCGGAGGATAATGAAGTGCTCGTCGTTCTGTTCCGACTATCGGAACAGCCATGACCAACTCCATAACTGCCGACGATGAGACGCTACATTCTCGAGCTCTCCCCCACTATTTTGCCGCCACCGATGACGTCCATGGTGGTTCGGTTGTGAGCATCTCGGAGCTCGGCTTTGATGGAGCGACGGCAACGGCAACGGCAACGGCAACAAAAGCAACGAAACCCAAAGAAGAGAGAAAAAGTCTGTTTCTCTCCGTCTCTTCACTCATCTGTGAGCTGGCAAATTAAATAAAAAAATAATTTTTTTATTACACCCGTCTACAATTGATTGGTGTAGTCCACCAACTCAGAAAAATGAGATGGTGGACTGGTTCATACAATAATTTCCCACGGGACACGCCAATGACCCTAGCGAGTTTGCTCAGGTGTGTAATAATAATACTAATAATATCAACTTGGTCTACCTCTCAACACAATCAGAAACTTCTCTAATGCAAAACACGCCATTGACCCCCGCCTTCAAAAAGATATGAAACCAGCTGGGACTTCTGAGCATCAAGCTGACCTTAGTATCTTCCGTTCAATTTGATATATATATATATATACAGACAAATACATGTACACTATTAGCTTCTATATATTATTTTTTATATAAAATGTTGAGAATATCATGGTGGGATACTATATGCGAGATTATCGAAATTTTCACATTGTTTTACACAAAATAATTTTCTTAAGAACCTTGCACAAAATTATAGTACTAGTTTACTTAACAATAATAAGTAATTAAGTATCTTTTCAACACGAAGTGAGATAAATTATTAAATAGTCGGGGAACTGTGGTGGTCCCGGCCAATCACAAGCTGCCATATAATTAAATATATGAATAAAGTTATGTGACATCTACTCTTTTATCAATTGATCATTTGCGTTACTCTATTATGCTTCCATATAATTGAGATGAGGATTATCCTACTTTACCACTTCAAAAACAACCTTAAAATTTTCATTTTCTGTCATTTCATCACAATAATAATACGCATATTTTAGTTTGCCGGTCCTCAATCCTAATTGCTAACTTGGGTTATCCTACAATTTTTTCCTTCTATCATTAATTTAGAATTTGGCGGTCCTCATTGTTAACTTGGGTACTTGTCCTTTCATTTTTATTTTTTGGTGAAAGTATTCCACACGTTTCTTTCACAATAATACAAATTGACCCCCAGTCTTCCTTCTTATAATTTGTTGAATTTTAATAAAATAGTGCTTTATTTGCATGAGACTAAATGTGAACTCCAGTTCACTAGCTTCAATTTCTTTGCAATATTTTAGACACCCAAAGTCTACACCCAATTGACCCGTCTTAAGGACTTTAAATTTTTTGAGACCCAATTTTTATTCAAAATTAAATTGGAACAAGCACTTACGTATCCTCTATAAATTAGTACTCTTGGGGACTCCATTATATACTCAAAACAAAAACAAAGCCTTCTTCTGTTCTTGCAACAAACTTACAATGGCCCCTAATCTCTCTCTTCTTTTAGGAGCTTTCCTTCTCCTCCTCGTCGCGGTTCAGTCTAAAAACCACACGAAACCACCCGAAAAAGGCTTCAAGTTCCTCCAGCACTTGCAGGGATGCCACAAGGGGCAGACAGTGAAAGGCCTTCACGAGCTCAAACGCTATCTCGAGAAATTCGGCTACTTGAACTATGGCACTACTAATAACCATCATCATTCAAAGAGTACGGCTACAATTAGCAATCTCAACCATGCAAACGACGACATGTTCGACGACATTCTAGAGTCTGCAGTGAGATCATACCAATCATATTATCACTTGAAGGTCACCGGGAGCCTAGACTCCGAAACCGTTCAGCAAATGATTCTCCCTAGATGTGGCGTGGCTGATGTTGTCAACAATGCAACAAATATGAAACACCCCCGACTTTTCAACATGGTTGCTCAGTACTCATTTTTCCCGGGAAAGCCGAGGTGGCCTGCATCAAAAACCCGTCTCACTTATAGCTTCCAATCCAGTGCACAGGTTGTGGGATTGCAAGAACTGAGGTCGGTGTGCTCGCGAGCTTTTAAAAAATGGCAAGATGTGAGCCGATTCACGTTTGTGGAAGCTCCGCAGGGTGCAGACGGGGACATTGTTATCGGTTTCCATCGCGGTAATCATGGCGATGGATATCCATTTGATGGTCCCGGTCGGACATTTGCTCATGCGTTTGCACCAACAAGAGGATGGTTCCACTATGATGCTGATGAGAATTGGAGTAGTAATCCGAACATGAACCAAGTGGACTTGGAATCACTTGCAGTTCATGAGATAGGGCATGTTCTTGGGCTTGGACACAGTGAAGATCTGAATGCCATTATGTATGCATATTTTTCTTATGGAACTATCAAGAGGGATCTGAATGCTAATGATATAGAAGGGATACGCGTCTTGTACTCTTCTTGAGTACATGCTAAAACCAGGTTAATTAGCATATATATATATATATATATATATATAGGCCTATGGCTTTTTGTTTTATGTTATTATGAGAAAAAGAAAATAAGTGAATATCGGTGATAAACCTGTGTATTCAACAAGAGTTGTACTCGCGACTTGTTCGCTTATGGAATGAATGATTCTCGATCTATAAAAGAATTTTTATGGAACATTAGTTATATATATATTATCAGGTTCTCTTCTAATAACTATTTGATTTTAAATATATTTCAAGGATGACTAGTCGTGCCATCTTTTGTGAAGAGATCTGTGTGAAACCTCACCCCAAGCACGACCTCACCGGCCCCCCAATATGCTGACAGGAAATATATGTGTGTGTATATATATATATAATAAATTAAGATTTAAAAAAAAAAAAAAACTGAAATAAAATATATAAAAATATATATATGATCATATTTTGACAATTATAATATATTTAATACATATATATATATATATGAAATTAATATTAAAATTTGAATTCAAGTTGATTTGGGTTATTAGTACCTCAGTTAAGATTTTTCGACCCAAATCAATTCTAATTGTAAAAATGGTTACTCAAACCAACTAGGCTCTAATTGGGTTCTGATACTATGTATATGTATATTTTCTCTCCTTCACTATAACAAATTTGGGCTCTTGCCATGAAATTTTTTGCCACGCGTAAAATTTTGTGGCAAAAAGTATCTTTTGGCCACAAAATTAATTTCTTGTGGTTAATATATGAGTGTTTGCCACGGAGTAAATTTTTCATGGCAAATACTAGTTCTTGTCACGAATATTAGGGACGATCTAAAAATTTGTGGTAAAATGTCAATTTTGCCACGATGAATTAGGGACGACATACAAAGTTGTGGCAAAATACTATTTATGCCACGATTTTTTGTTCGTGGCAATTGTATGTTTCTTTTGTCACATATATATTTTCATGGCAAATCACTTTACAATTTGCCATGATGATATTCTCGTGGCACATATATTTTTTTGGCACGAAGTTTTTTTCTCGTGGCTAAAAGATGGATCCTGCCATGAGTTATCAGTTGTGGCTATAATACGCTTTATTGCCACGTAAATATTTTCATGCCAAATCTATTAGTTATTCGCAACGATGCTTTATTCGTGGCAAATAGTCTCTTTTGCCACGAATTTTCAATCGTTGTGGCGAAATGTTATTTTTACAACGAATTTATTTTCGTGGCAATTAGGAACTACTTTGCCACAAATTTTCAATCTTGTGGCGAAATGCCATTTTTGCAACGAATTTGTTTTCGTGGCAATTAGGATTTCTTTATTGACTATTATTTATTTATTTATTTGGTTTTTGTAATTCCTTAAATAAGAGGCTGAGAACACCAAATCCCTAAGCAAATTAATTAATTATTAATAAAAATTCAAAATGACATTTCCTTTAAATTTGATCCTTTTTAAATAACACTCCTGTACTTGTCATACACAAAAGAATAAAAAAAAAATTATACCAAACATTCTTATATTGAATTTAAATTAATCATATATACATATATATATAAATCCAAAATGCAATATTTATAAGTAATTAAAAATTAAAAATATAATAAAAAATATAAATCATATATCAAATCTTGAATAAATTTACAACTACAAAATTTTACTTATATTTAGTAAGGGTATAAATAAAAGATTTAGTGATTTAGGAATTAAATGGAATAAAAGATCTTAGAAGTACATAGGATTTTGTTGGCACAAAGCCTTTAACCAAGGACAATCTGGTGATTTTAGTGATTACAAACTATTAATGGTATTTGTGGACTAATGTTTAATTATATACATTGGGTGTTATAGATGATTCGTCTTCAAAAAATGACCTCAATGAAGCGATCACGTCAATGGAAAAGAATGGATACAAAGAGACGTGAATTAAATTGCAAGAAACCAAATGCAAGTCCATCCAAAAATAGCTTGGACTACAATTAATGAGCAAACAAGCAACTCAAAGAAATTACAAAAAAGCAAGAATACCTCAAAGCCTAAACAATCATATATGAACAAAGCTTGAAGAAATAGGTAGATAGTATAGTGAGTGTGTAGGATTCAATGTCAAAGTATTTATGAATCCATTTGAAGCTCATCTCCATATCATATCATTATTCACATGCATGTTCCTATATCCACTAACAATAGACACATGAAGTCATTGCTAAAAGAATAAGTTAGTTCAAGTTTGCATAAACTTTGAATTAAAGAAGTCAATGCTTGAGTTAGAAATGCTAAGACCATGCACAACAATTGATCATATGTTTTATTTTGGTCCCTAGAAAGTAGAGTCTTAAGGCATTGAACTTTCTTTTTCATCAACAAAGCCTTTGTTACCATGACTTGGTAAATGACTTTACAATCTGGACATTTCTCATAAAAAACTGTTTCTTGGTTTTTTGGCTGAGTATGGAAAATATGATTTTTTTGAAATAAAAATATTTTTAAAATAATTTTTTTCAATAATTACTCCTTACACTTTAAATAGCTTAAATTGATTTTAAGGGATTTTTCATCAATTCTATATAGGCTTATATGGAGGATCAAGTTTTACTAAAACTTTCGGGAACCCTAATTTGTACTAAAACTGAATTTTTTTGATTTAGTTAGATTTTAATTTCTTATATTTTTTATTGAATCCAAATAGGGGGTATTTACTTATTTACTTAAATATTTTCAATGGAAATAAGGTATGTAGAAGTAACAGCCCATGTTGTCTATTAGATGACTAAACCAGAAAATTTATTTATTTTTTATTTGACCGATCAGATCAGTCATAAGATTGATAGGATGCCAAAACCAATGAACTCACATCTTTTGTGGTTAATCAATTGACCGATCAGATGTGTCCAAGTGGCCGATCAGATGCTTTATGTAACCAATTAGATTAATCAAATTTTAGAAAGCGCAATGAAACAAAATCTGATCCCACCGATCACTTCTATAATCTAACAGATCGGATGCTCTAACTGCCCAAACAGATATAACATATATCCGATCACTTTAAACCAACAAATATATAACTCATGTGACCGATCAAATGGACTAAAATTTCAAATTTGGAAAATTAATTTACCCCTAAAGGCTACATTTTTCAAGGGGTTATAAATACACAATGTTTTGGACATTGTGGGGATGTATTGGAGAGAAATAGCGAAACTTTCTTGAGTATCAAAGAGTTTTTGTTCTTCATCTTATTCATCCTTTCATACATATTATTCATAGAGTATTAAGCTTCATTTATATTAATTTATACTCTAGTTGTGAGCTTTGATTTGCATATCAATATTTGAAAGATATATTCTTATACAACAAATTTGTATCTACAATCAATTGTAAGGATTGGTGTGATCCAGCAGAAGTCTAAGAGAGGATTGTTCTCTTAGTAAGAAGATTAGAAGCGGTGTGCTTCTTGTACCGATTTGCTCTCCACTTATAAGGAGGTGTCATAGTGGGATTAGAAAAGTTTTAAGAGGGAGCTTGAGCCAAAGAAAGATGCAGATGAAGCGATATACGTACACAGATGGGAGCAAAGAAAGGAAAAAAATAGATTTGTCGGGTTTAACTCTTAAAAATGGGTATGACCCATGTTTTGTATCTTTTTAAGTTTAAAAGAAGTGTCAACCTCTTATTGGGACACGTTAGTGCGCACGATACAATTTGTCTTGATGGGCAGGATTGAAGCATTATCCTATATATAAAGCATCTAGAGGATGACTTTTAAGTATATTGTAAAAACGTAGTGTGATACTTTTGTGTGCAAGGCTATAAGCCTATTAGTAAAATATCATTGATGAGCGCTAAAAAGTGCGTATTTAAACCTCTTAAGCTCAGGTATTCTAAGACCTTTACCTATCTTATTTTCCCGCCTTAGATTGATTTCGTGTTATTTCCATTTTCAGGTACTTATCCCCTAAATAAGCTAACTCAGCCAAATAAGAGCAGAAATGAAGCAATTTTGGGATGAATCAAAGAAATGAGCAAAGTGGAGCAAAAAGGAAGCAAAGATGGAATTTCAGCATATTCGATCGATCCAACATCAGTCTTCGATCGATCGAACTTCCATCAATCTCAGCACTTCAAGATAGATCCAAGCCATGATGCAATTTTCAGAGATCTCAAAAGTTGATTGATCCAACATCATTCTTCGATCGATCGAACCTTCTTATCCTTATCCAGATGCCAAATCTTATCCAGCTGTACCACCCTACCAACCGCTTTTGTCGTTTTCCCAAAAATATCTTCAAAATATCTCAGATTTGTTTTTATCCAAAAAGGCGCCGCCATTGAGGATCGATCCAGCCTAAGTTCGATAGATCTCAGCCATGTTCGATAGATCCAAGTCCAAGGTTCGATCAATCAAACTTCCCCCAGTACGAAAAAGTTAAATTTTCAACTCATAAAAGTTGTCCTTTATCTAATCATTGGAGAATTTTTGCTGTACGACCCCAGCTCATTTTAGGTGTCATTTGACCTACCTATATAAGGATAAGGATTACTTTTACACATAACATATCTTATATTATATCTCATATCATAGTATACCTTAGAAAACTCTTAGGGAGGAAGAAAAGAAGAGGAGGAGGCTAGAGACACCATTGGAGACTCTTCATCAACCAAGGAGCGAATCTCTACCATAGAGTTATCCATTGAGGGTTGGAGGACACCATCCATGAGTGGCTAGACATTCTCTTGGGGCTAGAGTTAGCCCTAAGCATGCTTTCTACATCTTGATTTATGTATTTTTGAGGGAATTTGTATTCTGATACTTGTTTTGACATGTTTATATATATAAATCTTGTTTACTCAATAATTTGTATGGTTTAATGCTTCCAATTGATCATTTTATTCTATCCATATGTCTATGTATGCTAGAATAGATGTTCATGTATTTGCCTCTATTTCTTGTGTTGTTAATGCATGTCTATGTGTATTAATACTATAAATCTAGAGATTGTCAAGACATAGTGCTTAATGGAATGTCCTTGTGATTTATTTGATAATTCATGCTTATTTCTTGATGGATTGTGCCTCTCCCTTAGTTTAATTAGCTTAATTTCATGTCATTAGCTTAGTTGTAGTGTAGTGGTAGCTAGATGTTAAATGGGAGGACAATCCATGCTTGTTGTTTGATATTCCATACTCATAAATGCAA